CACTTCTGCTGGCAGTGATCACGCAGGTTGTGGGTGTGGTAGTGTCTGCTTTCCGCTTCACCCCTTTCTTCTGAGGAAAAGTAGATCGGCATGTGTGTTAGAACACAACAAAAAAAAAACCCAAACAAACAGACGATCAGTAGGGTGTGTGACAGACTACACTTAAGGAAGCCTTTTATAAGTGGTCTGGTTTAGGGTCAAATTGATCAGACACCCATCAGACATGATTTTTTTTTTTTAGAGATTTACAGAGAATAAAAGTTATTGAACAAACAAACAGTTTACAAATCATTTTATTGCACAAACTATCATAGTCCTCACAAAAAAAACAAACAGATTATACATAATAATGGGACCATTGCTCATAGTAGGCGATGTGAAATGTATTGCTGAAGGCAGTGAATCGGTTACAAAAGCTGTTTCGATGGCTGAAACGGAGGTGCTTTAGGAGATTCATTTAGAGATGTGACATCTCAGAAGAGGTTTTAGTGTGCTGACAATCTTACAGCTACTTTTAGACTGTTAACACACTAAAGCACAGCATGCTGTCAGAAAACTAAAGACCTCTCAAAGAAGTTGCACCTAAATTCATTCCCTTTAAAGCCTAGCTGCTAAAATATTTAAAGCTAAAAAATGGAAGGAAAAGAAAAAATATTAATAATAAAAAATGAAAAAAAATTACATAAATATTTAATGAATAAATAAATAACAATAGTCAGTTGCTGTTGTGTAATAATGTAAAGAAAAACTTTTTATATAAATGTGTATATAGATAGATGGATAGACATATAGACAGATAGATAGACATACAGACAGACAGACAGGCAGATAGACAGACAGACAGAGAGAGAGACAGACAGTTTAGAGATTTACAGAGAATAAAAGTTATTGAACAAACAAACAGTTTACAAATCATTTTATTGCACAAACTATCATAGTCCTCACAAAAAAAACAAACAGATTATACATAATAATGGGACCATTGCTCATAGTAGGCGATGTGAAATGTATTGCTGAAGGCAGTGAATCGGTTACAAAAGCTGTTTCGATGGCTGAAACGGAGGTGCTTTAGGAGATTCATTTAGAGATGTGACATCTCAGAAGAGGTTTTAGTGTGCTGACAATCTTACAGCTACTTTTAGACTGTTAACACACTAAAGCACAGCATGCTGTCAGAAAACTAAAGACCTCTCAAAGAAGTTGCACCTAAATTCATTCCCTTTAAAGCCTAGCTGCTAAAATATTTAAAGCTAAAAAATGGAAGGAAAAGAAAAAATATTAATAATAAAAAATGAAAAAAAATTACATAAATATTTAATGAATAAATAAATAACAATAGTCAGTTGCTGTTGTGTAATAATGTAAAGAAAAACTTTTTATATAAATGTGTATATAGATAGATGGATAGACATATAGACAGATTGATAGACATACAGACAGACAGACAGGCAGATAGACAGACAGACAGAGAGAGAGACAGACAGACAGAGACAGAAAGACAGATAGACAGACAGACAGAGATAGATAGACAGAGACAGACAGATAGATAGACAGACAGACAGATAGACAGACAGATAAATAGACAGACAGACAGAGAGAGAGACAGACAGACACAGACAGACAGACAGACAGATAGACAGACAGAGACAGAAAGACAGATAGACAGGCAGATAGACAGACAGACAGGCAGATAGACAGACAGACAGACAGACAGACAGAGACAGAAAGACAGATAGACAGACAGATAGATAGACAGAGACAGAAAGACAGACAGACAGACAGACAGAAAGACAGATAGACAGACAAGACAGACAGACAGACAGACAGATCTTAATACGGTAATTTCTTATAATTTATAGATAAATATTTAAAAATAAATAGTCATATTGATCCATCCCTAAAACAATTTTTCCCCCTCTTGGCTACAGATGATCTCAAAATGTACTCTGCTATGACAGAAACAATGAAAAGGACAGAGCAAATAAAACCTGCTGCTTCCACATCATTTGAACTGGTCTTACTTTGACAACAGGCTGTGCAGTTGGGATCATGGATGTGGCAGGGGGCACAGCTTGGACATTGGAGGTGATGGTCGAGACTGGAGTCGCAGCTATTACAGGAGTCTGAGCCAGCTGAGGAGGGGAGCTCGGACATGACGAGGATGGCGAACCAGTAGTCAGTGCTATTGATTGTTGGTTTTCTGTTTGGATGTGATAATGACAAGGTCAGCTGGGATCTCTCCTTCAGGCAGCATGTCACTGGTAACTCCAAAGGTTTATTAATCATGGCAGTTACCTGAAGCAGGGGGTGCTCCAGGTTTCCGTGCTTTACCCTTCGGTGGTGGGGGTAAAAGTTCCACCTCCTCCTGGGGCATCTGAGCTACCTTTTGGAGGAAAATCTTTTCCAAGGCTTGAGCCATGAGAACAATGTCATCTGTGGGCTAGGACAATATTTCAAGGGAATTTCATTTAAATCACACATTATAAAACAAATTGGTAATGAAATTATACCAATATGAATATAAGTAATTATTAAGAACTTAACTCTACCTTGTTATAGATATAACAGTTTGTGAACATAGTGTTAAAATCCTGCATGCATTCTCCAGCAGTCCAATAGTAATTATTCTCAAGTCGCTTCTTTATGGTTCCCATGTCCATTGGATTCTTGATAATTTTATTGTAGTCCTGCATGACAAAGATAATAAAACAGACAAGCTGTAATGCACTAGGTGGAAGAAAACAAACATTTATGGGTGATGTATAAATTTTTTAGATGTTCAAATACTAAATCTATTAGCATAACACTGTAAACATTATTACATTTTTTTTTGATAATCCCAATACAACAACAAAAAGGTTCGGACTCAAAAACACTGACTCAATTAGCTGCATGAATTTGGGAAAGGACTATTTGCTTGCCCAACCAATAGCAGATGGGGGACCCTTTTAAAAACAGTCAATATTTTTGCAATTCCATTTGGTAACACTAGAGTACGGTGGACGAGAAGTGCAGAGCAAATCACAATTCTGAAAACAAAATAACAAATTACAAACGCAAATGCAAGTTTAAAAAACAAAATAAAAATTCAGAAAGCACAACAACAATTCAGAAAACATTATAACAAGTCAGAAAACCCGGTTTGTCTGATTTGTGTTTTCTGACTTGTAAATTTGTTTTCGGATTTGTCGTTGTGTTTTCTGACTTGTTATAATGTTTTCTGAATTGTTGTTGTGCTTTCTGAATTTTTATTTTGTTTTTTAGACTTGCATTTACGTTTGTAATTTGTTATTTTGATTTCAGAATTGTGATTTGTTTAGCACTTCTCGGCCATCGTACTAGAGGCACAGAAATTACACTAGCCACCTTCAAGTCAAAAACAACAATATTGTGAAATATTATTACAACTTAAAATAACTGTTTTCTATTTTAAAATGTAATTTATTCCTGTGATGACAAAGCTGATCATTATCAATGCTTAAGTTTTTGCTGCTTAATATTTTTGTGGAAACTGTGATACATTTTTTTCAGGATTATTTAATGCGTAGAAAGTTCAAAAGAACAGCATTTATTTGAAATATATTTTGTAACGTTATAAATGTTTACTCTCCCTTTAGACCAATTAATGTGTCCTTGCTGAAAAAATTTACTGATTTAAAAAAAAAAAGTTTTTATCTTACTTTTTTAATGTTAGTGTATTGCAGTTTCCACAAAAATATTAAGCACAACTGTTTTCAATGTTGGTAATAATAATAAATTTTTCTTGAGCAGCAAATCAACATATTAGAATTATTTCTGAAGGATCATGTGACACTGAAGACTGGAGTAATGGCAGCTGAAAATTCTGCTTAGCCATAACAGGAATAAATTAATTTTAAAATACATCAAAAAAGAAAACAGTTATTTCAAATTGCAATAATATTTCACAATATTACTGTTTTACTGAATATATGCAGACTTTGTCTTTATAAAAAAAAAAATGCTATTATTCCAAACCGATAGTGTGTACATTTATGACATGAAATTTATGAAACACTAATTTATGGAGTGTATATTTATGAAATGAAGCCAAAAACAATTTACTCACTGGCAGATTCAATTTGATGGCATCCACAGGTGTGTAAAAGGGCCACGCAAACTGATGCTTCCATAGAGTCTTCACAACCACATTCTGCATATATTGTAGCTGGTTGGTTTTTCGGCCAGGCTTACTGGGGTTCGTGACCTCAGGAGGGGGAGGGTTCGCAACAGGTGGAGGCACCTGGGCAGGGGATGTGACTACCGACATACTGCTCAGCTAAGGGGAAGAAGTTGCTTGAATGACGTCTGTACGTCTCTTAGCTCAGTTACAATGATCCTCTTGCTGCTCCTTAGTCCCACCTCGACACACACATCCCATCTCAGGACCTGAGTGTCAGCACGCTGCCAATAAACGTAGAGAAATAACTTATTAAATATACATGAAAAAATGTAGATATGTATGAGAGTGTGAGTAATAAAACACTGTAATAATACACAGTGTATGTCTATATATACATATACACACACACATATTTTTTTATTTATTTAGTCATTTATCAGACGCTTTTATCCAAAGATATAAACAAAGACATATAGCATCAATCGAAATGTAACTTCAGAATCATATCAATTAACAAAGCCACACATTATACTGCTATATTATTTTGCAATATATTGCTATAATATACATTGTAATATAATTTAAAACTTTATCAAGACCACTATCATGGTGGAAGTTCACGTGCATGTTGTTAAAAAACAGTAGTTGTATTCATTATTATTTATAATCACTCACACACTGAAAATCATTTTAAATCATTTTTAGGTTATTTATTGTACATTTTCCAGTTACATGCATCTTCACCAGTAACTTAAATTAGTTAAAAGTCTCAACTACAATATCGGGGGTTTGACTAAAAAAAACAAACCTGGAAAAAGCAGAACAATTCTGTGAACTTGAGCGTTTCATTCGAACTAACGTTACTTTCAATAGTTTTAAAAACCAACAAAGCGAACAAAATTTCGCTTGCCTATTAACTTAGAGGCCATGAAAAATTGCAGGTTTAGTCGGAATTAAACCAAAACATTAGCTAGCAAATTGCGCCCCTGCGCGCCCTTAAACGGAGCTCTTGAACTGTAAATTTGACTGGAAACGCATTTGCAATCGCGCGTTGAAGTAACTGCATCAGGCGTCTGTAAATAAGTTCTTGAAAAAATGGCGGGCACTGGAGAGACAGGGCATGGAGTGAGGAATGCCGAGGATCGAGCCCCACCATGTCTTTAACACAACCATTGTGTGTGCATGCCGTTCAGCCAGCTAGCCACTCAGCGGGCTAATTTGAAATCATCCCACAATACATCCTCCAGCCCGGTTTTTCCGCTTGGTACAACGAGAAAAAAACAGCGCAAACAATTACAGCAAGCTCTGCCTTCACGGATCGAAACGACTGCGCGTGAAAGAAGGTTTTGTTACATTGTTGCAAAGCGCCGCTCATCAGCTCCACTCTGTCAGAGATCCTGCTAGCCACATTCAGCTGTGTTTCCCCCCCCAAAAGACCAATATACATCACCTTAACTGAATATAAACTTCGATCGGAATGCGCTAAACGTAAATATGCATGTTATGCTTTATTACTTTCACTCCAAGCGGCTCCGGTAGCGTTTTCCTTGCAGATTTTCGGGTAGCTTTTATTGCGAAGAAGCATAATAGATGGCTGGGGTCGACACTGGTTGGGTAGTGTTGTGCGCATGCGCGCTGCGTCGCACGGTATTGTGGTTGTTGTTGTGTAAATGAATAGCTGTCGCTCTCTGTGCCGCAACATTTGGGCGGCGTTATGCAAATCTTCCCACATAGTGAGGTAGATATGTGGGGGCGTGTTCGAACGAGCCGTTTTAGGTAGGTGTGGCTAACTCTTAACTTTTATAAAGAATATCTCTTTGGATTTGAGACTTTAGTCTTTGCAACTTTACAGATCTTCTTTATGCACCAAGAGCTTGTAACACTCTAAAGGGAAAGGAAAAAATGAAATCGCATCATATGACCCCTTTAACGTTCTCGTGTATACAATGTTGTTTTTTGTTTATCACAAATAAGTGACATGATTACAATATACAGTCAGCAGGTCAAGATGTATAAAAACCTTGAAAGGATTTGGTGTGGGTTGATGACCAAGTGCTTATTAGCTACGTCTGTCTGTCTGTTTGTCCGTCCGTCCAAACTCATGCTGTTTACAATTATTCAATACTTACGAATGTAATTCCATTGTAAAATGAGGCGATAGATAGATAGATTTTAGATATAGGTAGGTTTTAGTATTATTTTATTAATATGTTGTCTAATAAAATACTCATGTTGTTAATATAATATCTAATAAATTCAGTCGATAAAGGCAATGTGCTGCACTTGTTTTATCTTGCAACACCAGTGAAAATAATTTAATATATAACATAATATTTCTAAGTCTTGTAAATACAAAATTGCATAAATAAATAATGTTTGTAAAGTTTCCCATCTCATAATAACCGATACTAACGATCAGCAGTAAACACACAGCATATTTAAAAAAAAATATTTCGTGTACGGAGCGAAATGAACACCATTCTCTTCCATTAGTGGAAGGATTTTGAATTGAATGACTTGCAAAATATTTAAATTGATGATTTTGCTCACAGTTTATTCAGAGAAACCAAAGCTGTGAGAAATGTATACTCGTCGAATAAAATAAAGAAAAAGCAGCCACCATCACAAGAATCTGAAGTTGTCATACACACTGCACATGCGCGGTGACGCGCGTGTAATTTCTATTTGGCTCAGCAAGTGCCCCGAAGCGCCTTTTCTAGCAGTTTGTAAACACAGTCGTTTGGAGCGAACCGTTTGAAACCAAAAGTTTGCTTCAGAACCCTCCAGTAAGTTTCTACTCGGTTGTTCGTGCGTCATCGCTTTTGTGATATGGAAACCTGAGCTGAATGCAAGTACTGGGTCTGTTAGCCTTGCTAACGTTAAGTGCGTGACAGGGCGACAACTACAAACATGTTTACTGTTGTAGCTGATTTATATGCGTCTGATTGTCAAAATATACGCGACACCATTCAAAGTTCTGGATAAACATTTGACTTAGTATGAGGAAGTAACGGGCTTGGCTGCCATGTCATTTTAGCGATACTTTTCTTTTAGGCCATGTGCATTTTGTGACACTCCAATGCTGTCAAGTGCACAAGTTTGTTTTGACGATGGACAGTTGAAATAAATGGCATTTGTTTGATCCTGTACATCTTTTCAATCTGTTTAACAATTTTATGATCTCCTCTTTTTAAGAGCCCCTGTATTTGACCCACATAAGGTGCAGTGATGGCATCAGAGGAGAAGAAGCCAGACATAGAAACACATAAGACACATTCAGCATCAGCATCCTCCAAGGTAGAAAGCCTGCCTTTTCGTTACTTTGCTTTTTTTAAATGCAGAGCTTCATTCAGAAGTTAAGTTGTTCCTCTGTTGATGTGGTTTACGTCTTTCTGAAGTCTGCTCCTGTGAAGCCAAACTACTCCTTGAAGTTCACCCTCGCAGGTCACACAAAAGCTATATCATCAGTCAAATTTAGCCCTAGTGGTGAATGGTTGGCCAGTTCATGTAAGTAGTGCTTTTTATAATGTTCAATTTGAATCTACAGAAAGCAAACCAATGTCTGAAGATTTTGAAATGACAATCTCGTTTTCAGCGGCAGACAAGCTCATCAAAATATGGGGCGCTTTTGATGCAAAATTTGAGAAGAGTCTTGCAGGACATAAACTTGTGAGTTTTAATATAAGGAATAGTTCACCAAAAAATGAACATTTGCTCAAAATTTACTTAACATTTAAATTTTTGGGTGAAGTATTCCTTTAAAGGGTCAATTTACAGGAAAATGAAAATTCTGTCATTAATTTGCTTCAAACCTATAAGACATTGGTTCATCTTCAAAACACAAACTAAGACATTTTTAATGAAACCTCAGACATTTCTGTCCCTCCATTGAAAATGCATTTCACCAACTTTCATGCTTAAAAAAAGTTCCCAAAGACGTTGTAAAGGAAGATAATACAGTTGAGCTGCCATGGACCCTAGTTGATGAGTTCTATGTATGTTTATTGATCAATGTTTATATGTAAATAACACTCAAAATTAAATATCATATAAAGCAATTGTTTATTTTCTATTAATTACTGTTACAATGTATTTTTGAACTTTTTAAAGTGTAAACGTTTTGGTGGAATGGACTTTACATGCACAGAATTGTTCTGTGGATGGACAGTTTTATTAAAAAATATGATTATTTTTGTTTTGAAGATAAACAAATGTTTTATGGGTTTGGCAAGACATCGTGGAAAGTAAATGATGACAGAATTTTACTTTTGGGTGAATTTACTCTTTAAAGGCTCAATCTGTAAATGTATTATAGATGTATTAAAGAGATGCTATTGTATAAAAATTCTTAAGTGTCTTCTTGTTCCAGCAATTAATCATACTGTGATGTCTTTTACAACCCATGTTGTAATTGCAGGGCATATCAGATGTGGCCTGGTCTTCAGATTCACATCTTTTGGTGTCTGCATCAGATGACAAATTACTGAAGATCTGGGATATGACTTCGGTAAAACTTGTCAAATAATTTTATCTGATGCTGTAGGTGTCATCCATATCAGTTTCTGAGTTTTGTGCCCTAATTCTCTGTCATGCTTTTGAAGGGAAGATGTCTGAAGACACTGAAAGGCCATAGCAACTATGTCTTCTGTTGTAACTTCAACCCACAGTCGAACCTTGTTGTTTCTGGATCTGTAAGCAAACAAACAGATTTATTATTTTTTTAAATGAATAAAAATAAATAGGAGACAGTGTTTGTACTCATAAGTCATTTAGTGATCAAGTGATGTGGTTCATGTTGACAGTTTGATGAGAGCGTACGGATTTGGGATGTCAAAACTGGGAAGTGTCTGAAGACCCTGCCTGCTCACTCGGACCCCGTCTCAGCGGTAAACATCAATTAATAAAAAATATTTTTGTTGGTCTGCATGCAGATTTTGTTGATGTCGGTTTAATGTAATGTTTCCAGGTTCACTTCAACAGAGACGGATCTATAATAGTATCCAGTAGCTATGATGGTTTATGGTAAGTTGAGTAGTGCCATCCATTAAAAGTGCTGTAAGCCATTTCAGCTTTTTCTAGCTGAATGTTGACAAACCCAGAAACATAAAAGATAGAGTGGCATAGCGCATTCTGTGATTGGATATTTATTTCAGTGAAATCTGTCAGTTAGAAGAGACATTTTTGGTATTTTATTACTAAACATTTACTTGCAGCACCTTTAAGTCAGCCTCCATTCACACTTATGATACTTTAAGACTGATATGATTACATTATTTACCTTTTCTTAATGCTATGGACTGTATTTCAGCCGATTGTGGGACACTGCGTCGGGACAATGTCTGAAAACTCTTATAGGTATGTGACTGTTTTCTCTTTATTGTATGTACTAGAGAAGCTGGAGAGCATGATATCAAGTTTTCTTATCATAGTTGGACTTTTAGCCTTAAATCTTGAGTTTTGTTGTGGTGCCAGATAGGCCTGTCACGATACCAACTTTTTGTTGTGCGATATATTGCCCCAGAAATAATTGCGATAAGCGATGTTATTGTCATTTTAAAGACCATTGTATGCCACTGAATATATAATCATAATGTAACAGCATAAGGGATGTAACGATTCACTCAACTCACGATTCGATTCGATTCACGATTTTGATTTCTCGATTCGATTCACGATATTTTTTTTTTACAGAATGAGATTTAAGACAAATTATAAATTAAATGTGTCCTTTTATTATTGCTTGGACAAAATGCTGCACATTTCTTTGTGAAATTGAAATATAACACTATAATAATATACTAATATAGCACTTGCATATTATTGCTCTTTTGTTGGTTTTGATTGCTTTTTTGATTGATATTGTCCTCATTTGTAAGTCGCTTTGGATAAAAGCGTCTGCTAAATGACAAAATTTAAATATAATGTAAATGTAAATAACAAAACTAAATTGAAATAAAAAAAATCTAATAAATAAGTAACACAAATAAAAGAAATCTTTTCATATAAACAAAATAAGGCTTTGTCTGTGCTCTTTCCATTTAAAATGAGAGGCAACCACTGCATTTTAATCATGATCCAAACAAAGATGCTGCATACATGCAACACGAGCAGTTTTTAATCTAAATTAGATTGCATAATTTCGAAATTTGAAACAAAAACAGAATGGTTTGACTTCAGTTTTGTGAAACTATACATAAAAAATATATCTGCATGAAACAGCGGACGAGCTGAATGAGACGCAGATTCACTCTCTGCCAGCAGGCGGCG